ATCTCGGGCCAACGGTTCTTGATGCTTTTATTGAGATCCTTCCTGGAATTTATTGAAGTTACCCGCCCGATAAGGACAATACTTTGCAGAACACTTCGCATATATTAACAACACATCGCGACCTATGATTTATCACATCGTGACGTGCTATTGAAGAAAACCATCAAATCCCAGCGTTCAAGCCGGAGCGGACTGGCGACGGGATGGAAAAACAGGGGGGGGGGGGGAGGCGCGGATTTGCCCTGGCATGTAGGCGGCGTTGGTGTGTAAGCCTTTTGCCAGCCGATCGCTCTCCATGCGTCAAGAAGTCTGCGAAGTTTACCGTAGGCTGCATGAGAGGCCAGCGGGCTATAGCTGCGCCGGTAAGGCGCAACAGACTTAACACCCTGGCATCAGGGCGCAGAAGGAAGACGTGCATTGATGTCACGGTTGGTTTCACTTGGGGCTGTTCGATGAGGTTGAAAGCTGCCTCTTAGAATTGCGAATTTCAGGAACAGCTAAAGGGGGTGTTCAACATTTGCATGGGGTTTTGGACTAAAATGGCTAACTTGAAGATCATGTGGCACAGTTCACAGCCCTGCCATTCTTACAACGTAAGCCGATATAGTTTCTGAGACACACGTCCGTGGAGATGTTCAGACTATTTCGGGAGACTATTTCAAGGTCACCCAAGCATTCATAATGCCCTAACAACGTCATTTAACACGCGCCCGGGTGGCCGGCTAAATACCCTTTGCTCGGGGGGGCTCAATTTGGCCCCCACCCTGAGATCTCAAGAACTAAGAAAGCTAGAGACACCAAATTTACAGGGTGTATTGACCTGTACGTGAACTCGTTCAGGTCAAATTTTCAGGTTCCTAGGTCATGACGTTCGGGTCAACACAGGTCAAACAAGGTCAAGTTCCAGGTTGGTCCCCAAAGTGCCCCCAGAACCTAGATAACCGTTTCTAAGCAAAAGATTACATTCTCATTCAAAGTCAGTGACCTTGCTTGACCTTTTGAAAGTCAAGGTGACCAAAATCATACAAGATTACTTTGAGTTTTGCATTTGACCAAGCGACAAAGATTACGCTAGGCAGTATGTTCCTAAAGAGAAAATGTTGACCTGGATCATTTTAGGTCAAGGATCTATTCTGACCTCTAAGAAGTCCATGGGAGATGTATAATGCGGTTCTCCTATCAACAAACTCGAAATGAGCACCTGAAACTATCCCATACAGCAAGCCCTAGAATAACAAAACAGGTTGGTTTTGATCTTGGTGTGACCTTCATAACTGACCTTATGTCAATGTAGTTTGCTCATTCAACTGTTGTGTTGTCAAAGAAAGCATCTCAGAGATGTATGGCTTCGTCTAACACTCCGTTGTTGGATCAGATTGAAGGATTTCCTAGAAATTGCCTTCGCTGAAACCATGGCCTGACTTTGACCCGCCATAGGTCAGCGACCTTACAAGGTACATCTAAATTTCTGATGTCAAACGATCTGCTATTCAACTGTTTACAGCTATGCAAAATTTGACGCGGCTACGCCGCGTCGCTCGGAAACTATTCTGGAAAAACCTTGGGGGGATTCAATTTGACCCCCACCCGAGCGTGTGTTAAACATTGTCGTTCCATCAGCTGTGCGGAGATCAAGGCCAATCTATATATAATCATCGAGTCGTTCATATCTGGTGTTCCTGAGCATGACTTCCGGGTATAACGGCGATCCATTGGCTCTCAATCAAGGTTGTGCATGATGCAATGACCAAATCAAACAATGGCGTGGTGAAGAGCACATTTACTTAGCAGGGAAATTATGTCGTAAAGAACGGTCCTTTCCACATTAAAGTATATAAATATCTAAAGGTTAGCTTCTTTCATCATGTCTGATTCTTGCTTCAATACCTTCAAATGTGAAACATTCCCTTTAAAACTTGAACATATTTTCTTAGCAATGGAACGTCCCCTTTAAACCTTGAACATGTTTTCTTAGCTACAATACCTTGAAACATTATTCGCTCTTGACGTTATCATATAGACCAATTGAAATATTAATCCTGACTGAAAACAGGTCCTAGGTCGCAGAACAAAGCCTTCAGATATCAGCATGTTTATATGCCAGTATGCAGCTGTGGCATGCACTGTGTCGTGGCCGGAGATCGCCTTACCGTTCGAGATTCGTAAACGTCGGTAGCAACAGACAGAACACTTAGTCATTCACTGATGATTCATGTCATTCGCATGACGTGAGCACCACAAATTGATCATGAATGTGCCAACGTATTTAAAACAGGAAGCTTTACACTGATCACCTCCTTTCCAAAACATATCAATCAACCAGTAATACACAGATATGAAGGTGATCAATCAGTCGATCATTTAAAACTTCAGCAATTTTAAAGCGAAGTACGGCGGCGGGAGCGTAAGTCGACAGGCTCTAGCGTATTAGGCTATCCCAGCTACGCCATGACTCCTAGAGGCCAGCATGACCGCGACACAGTCGCCTGGGCTCCATACGGGGATATAAGACACCGCGTGTCACGTCCCGTTACACAAAACAGCCCTGGTCAGCCGCGTTATGGCGCCGTCTGCAGCAGCCGTCGTTCCTGACGGCTCGCCGTGTTAAGGCCTTGATGAGGATGTCACCGCGCCGGAACACGATTACAGGACGACGGAAACATGAAAAGCGTTTCGGACCGCGCACCGCAACCGATATACCGCCATGGATCATGTCCCTGTATATTGAGTGTAGGCGTGACAAGGGAAGCTGAGTTGGCTAAAACCCAGGTCATCACGCCGCAAAGCAGATAAACACCCTCAAGCATGCTGTGCAGAGCATATTATATGCCCACACATGCTACGCGAGCCCAATGTCTTTACCGCTGAAGACAAGCGAACCTTAGTACATCCAACAGCGTCACATACGATATTATCTATCGTCATTATATATAATTTTGCACCTGAGACCCTCCTTTGCATTGCTCTGGCCGGCAAAAGCTGACGGGCGCGTTCTTAGCTCAGATTACCCCGTGAACGTAGAGCGGGCGCACGTCGCCTGCTGTCATTTTGGGCTCTGGCAGGCCCGCTGTGGCCGACAGGCTGGGCCGTCAAGTCCACTGAGATGATTTGACACCCCACCTGCCTGGCAAGGGTTCAGCCTCATCCGAAGATTAGAAACTTTCCCCCGTTGTGTGTGTCTTGGCGCTACTGGCGTCGCAAACAGACAGGGCCCACTCGCAAGGTGAGCGATATCACGACCAGTGTCTCACCTAAAATCGGCCGATTTCTACTTGCCTGCCGTCAGAATTTTGTGTTGTGCAGCGTGGGGGTGAAGCGCCCTCTGTGCCGCCCGGGTGCCCTCTGGCGGGTCGCACCCACTCAGTAAGCTGTTGGAGCTGTCGACCCGTCAGTGCTGGGTAAACAGGAGCCCGGGAGTCGAGGTACCGGGCGGGGCCGCCGCGGGCGCCCGCTCGCCGCCAGACGGCCGGTCGGTCCGTCGGGGAACAGTGACGTCACAGGCCCGCCGACCTCCTGCCGGCGGGCGTCTGACGACCGCTCCCAACCGCACCAAGCTGTCTCCCCGGGCAACGTTTGCTTGGATCGCAGGGCCGTGCGGTAAAATTAACTCTTTGTGTTACGATATTTATTTTTCGCTAAGCTGGTGTCGGATTTCACGGACCACCCCTGTCCAACACCACGGAATTAGTACTACCTTTTGAATCGGCCGATTCGTCTTTGGCTATGTTTAACCAGCGCAGGGCACCACCATTCAGGCTCTCCGAACACATGCGTTCCCATGCTTGGCATCTCCAACAGCTACCGTGGCTGCCTTCTCTGAAGTGCGACCAAGCGGCTGACAAGTTAGCGTGATGCTGCACGTAAAGGCTCGCGTGCCACAAGCACCCAGACCGCAAACCGGCCCGTCGCCTAATGGGGGTGTGCCAGCTATCAGCGATAATCACACCCAGCCAATGCACGGTCGGTGCCGCCTGAATGGCCAGGAGAAGGGCTGGCGATCCGCCGCCACGACCAGCCTTGACTTTGAGGCTGTATTAGGCTGGCAGCGGGTCCACGCCCTGCTAAGGTATTGTTACCATGGGCGGCGGACCAGGAAGACAGGCTCAGACGGCTGGAACTGGTTGGTGCCGTCATCGGCTCCGGTCAGTAGGGCTGGAGCTCGGCCGTTCACCGGCGGGCTACCGACGCGTCATTCAGTTTTGCATCGAGTTGAGGATGAGTGAAACATGCCTTTTGTCTGGCGGCGTCCCTTCTGTAGCGTGCCGGCATCCTGAGAGCACATGAAGAAAAATTGTGATGTAACCTTAGTAACAGAGGCATTCCGGACAACAGACAAAAATCCGGGAGTGCAACGATGCACCCATGTGTGTGCTCCAGAGCCCAAGCTCGGGAGGGGGCCGGAGTATCGGCCTGGCAGCAGCGCGCTGCCGGCTCTGCGACGGGCCCACCACGTCTGCGCCGAGCACAGACTCTCGATAGCATCGGCCTTTGGCGCGCCGACAGCCGGGCCAGCGCCGTTAGTCCAGCGTCGCCGGCCGAGGGAGTGCCAAGGTGCGCCGCGGCCGGCGGCAGGGGAGGGGGATAAGTGCTGGCGGGTGCGATCGCGCGCCGTAAACAGTCGGACCGCGCCGCTGACACGTGGAGCGCGCCGTGTTGTCCGCCGCGCGCGCTACAGATCAGGCCGGCGGCCGCCTCCCACGGCAGACGAGACTGAAGAGAGATCTCTTGTAGGCCTGGGAGGGCGACATTGTGAGCGGCGCTGGAAGCCGCGCGCCGGCCACCCGGACAGCCTAAAGGTGAGGTCATCAAAGACGGAGCTTCACAGGCGGGCACACAAAGAGCTGGCTGCATTGCCGAGGCCCGACAGGTGAGTGCTGACACCCGACGCCGGCTGCTGCGACCCCGCCAGTGAATAGCTGCTGTAATGGCCCACCCCGGCCTTTGCTAGCATTGACACCATTGGTGGGTGGTGACATTGATGGATGACCTCCCGCTTTCAGACGGGCCACATCCGCACGGCCGAGGGTACATACCTGATCTGGCCTGCCGACACCCCGGAGCCGGAAGTGGCCGGCACTCACGTGATGCAGCGTTACCCGACGGCTCCCTCGACCCCAGGTCAGTGTCGGCGACCTGACCCAGCGCTACCGAGCGCCGTCAGCATTCAGCCCCACCAGCCGGTGGCAGCTCAGTCCTGGCCAGCTCCCCCGGTGGCCAGACTCTCCTCATTAGGAGTATCGTCAGAGTCGGAGCACTCGCCTTCCGCGCGGCACGGAAGGCCACTTACTGCTTGACGCGAATGGAAAACGTGGGCTATAAGTCCGCGAAATGGTCATGGGCAGCGTTGCCAATGTCAGGAATGGTGACATTGGACGACAACTATCTATTCCAGGTCAGGTAATCGCTAATGCTTGTGATCCCCCGGCAGATTATCTAGAATATTCTCACAAATCATGACCGGCAGGACTGATCGCTGCAGATACTGTTGGCGACGGCCTTTTGCGATCCCTTTGGTGGTCCACTGAGTATTTGCCGAGGAAACCGATATGGAGAGCAAACACGCGGCTCCGATGGCATCTACCGCCCCACAGAAAGCCTGAACCTTGGCAGCAAGCAGAGCCCTTTCACTGATACTTCCCCCTGATTTTGCCTGCCATGATGGGATAATAGTTACTGGGCTGCTGATGCTTACAAAGGGGATTTCTAATGCTCGTTTCTTATCTCGGGGTGCCGAGAACGTCCGATCCCCATTTCACACAACCATACGTAAGACGCGGAGATGCAGACCTGCCTAACGAAATCCCGCCATAAAGGGACGGTGACAACATGCCGCGTGCCTACGGTAGCAAGGAGCAATAGAAATCCCTTGCTAGAGATCGGTCCGATGGAGCTCCTAGCTGAGATCACCAACGGGGTCCGGCTGTTGCAAGAGAGCATTGCTGCCGCCATAAACCGTGCAGCCGGTCTGTTCTCCGGGCGTGGGCGATGCGTCTCGATTACCGTGACCTTGAACGCTGACCTCAAGCCAGCGTGGTCTGACCTCTGACCGGACGAACCTGGTCACCCCTGGCCTCCTTTGACCTCTAACGTGACATTTCTGACCTGGGACGATCCGGCCTAACCCGAACTAGCCTGACTTTCTCACCCACGACCTAAATTCTAACCTGGCATCTTACCCAATATCCCACCAGACCCCTGACTTCGCGCTTAACTGGATACCTGACCTGGCTTTTCGACTGACACAACCTGCCGTCGTCTCACCCGACGCAGCCTGAAATTGCCCTTTGGCTTAATCAGTCTCTGACATATGACCTGAACAGAGCAGACCTAACCTAACTTGACTTAACCTGACCTGTCGGCAGTCTACGGGGACGACCGGCATCGGTGGCGACGCTCCATCAGTGACCCCTACTTCATAGAGGTCATGGTGGCCGCAGACGCCAAGATGGCCGAGTACCACGGCGACCAGCTGCAGCAGTACATTCTCACCCTCATGTCAATAGTGAGTACACGGTGTAACAAGGATAGAAGGTGACTATATTATCACTGTTTAAAGCGCACAAAGTGAGGTTTGCTTTATGGTAATGGCTCTTTCCTCTGTGATGTGAAGCCATGCTTAAGCCGCATTCTGAAGGGCGGCGTCAATGCACGTTCTCGTAAAAGCATGCATAACTGAGATCATAGTGGGTGGGTTCGTTGATTATTTCATTGCTTCAAACGCACTGTTTCTCTGCTCTCTCTCTCTCTCTCTCTCTCTCTCTCTGTCTTCTCTATCTCTCTCTCTCTCATCTCTCTCCTCCTTCTCTCTCCTCTCTTCCTCTCTCTCCTCTCTCTCTCTCTCTCTCTCTCTCTCTCTCTCCTCTCTCTCTCTCTCTCTCTCTCTCTCTCTCCTCTCTCTCTCTCTCTCTCTTCTCTTTCCTCTCTCTCTCTCTCTCTCTCTCTCTCTCTCTCTCTCTCTCTCTCTCTCTCTCTCTCTCTCTCTCTCTCTCACACCTCGATACATGTTGCATCGAGTGATAGCTCAACATAATACTTGTGGGATTTATGCAGCGCGTAAACCATGTGAGATCTCACAAAATTGATGCGTTTATGTAAACTGCCTTATAAATTCAAATACAGACTGCATTTCTCTCATAACCATCTACCCGCAGCTCTGCCTTCGCAACGCAGACTGCATCAGACCATCCCGCCACGAAATGACGTGCGCTTGCTGGATGAGTTGGGATCCTGGGCATAAAATACAACTATTTGTCTTTGGTTTAATGTGGTATGCGTAAGAGAATCCGCTTTTGGAGTTCTAAAGTAGCTTAAGCGCCACGTGATCTCCCACTAATTGTGTTTTGAGCTACTGCTCGATGCAGCACGCCTAAGCAACAGGAAAAAACTCAACGAATTTCGTACAAGCAAGCGAGCTGCCAGGACGGAGCCAGCTAAATTTTGTGAATAATGCTACGTCTTTGGAGAACGCTAAGTTAACGCACTTTTTCCATACCAAACAAAACAAATCGACCAGACGCTGCGCCTGGAGAAAGATGCAAGTTGCCCACATCGGGTGAAATGGGGCATATATCACAGGGTGCATAATCCATTCCCTATCACTTGCCAACTTAGCGCGTGGACCAAAGGGCTTAACAGTGTCTAAGTGTTGTCCCTAGTTAAACGCTTTCTCTATACTAGGCACCCAACTCCTGCACGGTGCCAGATGAAACATTGCCACTATAGTAAACACACTCATGCATCACTGTTTTTCCAGGTTGGACTTATCTACAAGGATCCTAGTATAGGCAACTCTGTGACAATATCCGTAGCGCGCATTGTGCTGATTGATAGTGATGTGCTAGATGTTGGCAAGCCCAGCAATTGGAAGAACGGCAAGTCGGCTTCGGGCATTTTGCACCGGTGAGTCGGGGTCGGTCGTCACCAGGGCATTTCGGTATTACAAGGTCCCCACCCATCGTCGCTGTTCGTTATCGTTCATTGTCATTATCACGGCCCATTCTCAAGCCCACGCCTATTTCGGTGTCGTCACCACTGATGCCTTGAGCAGATGCCAATGAGTGCAAAAACTGCAAGACTACAAAAATGTAAATCTGCTCGTTCCTTAGTTTTTATTGCTGTCATATGTCTAAATGTGGCGGCATTAGCTTGTCACCGGTCTGGGTGGTCCAGCGAACATTTCCACCGGCGTAAAGCCAGATCCATGCTGCAGGTTCTGCCGATGGCAACAGGATCTCAATGACAAGGACGTCAACAGCCCCAGCCACTTTGACACGGCGGTTCTCCTCACGAGGTAGGCGGCAGGAGCACGCGCGAGGCAGGCTCAGCACGGGAGCCAGACCGCGCACGAGCGACGATGGATGACCGAGACCAAAGCTTAGTGGTCGTGGTGTCTCGCCGGGGTGGTGACCGAAAACCCGTCTATCTCATACTTTGAATTGGAGCCGTTTTGGGTTCTTCGCCACGGTCGGTGCCGTGCACTGCAACCGTGGCAGTCGCACGCGTAAACAGTCGACATAGCGTCGCATCGTTATTGCGTCGGTGGCAACAGGTAGCGCTTATCATTCCGTCTTCATGGTTTATTCGTTCGTCTTTTGTTTCTTTTGTCCACATATTGGTCTGAGCTGTGAGATATGGCGACTGCCAGATCAATGCAGGTCATGTGTGCGTTGGTGTATACAAGCGAAGCATTTATCAAAAAATTAAATGTGGGCACTTGCCAACACCATCCTATCACAAGTTTGTTTTTGTTTCTTTGACGTCTGTGAAGAGAGAATATGCAAAACCTTGCATCGTGCATTCACGACACATGCATATATGCATTCAGGATGCCGAAGCACACCCTGCATGACTAAGAAAGGAGTGAATATGTATGTTCTTGGGAAGGCGTTCCTCCCAAAATTAATCCCCCTCCCAAAGCATGTGTCAGCCCCTTCATTTGGGATAGGCATTTGTGTCCGTACAGCTTGGAATAAGGCCAAGGAAATACCGATGCAAATAAGGAAGCAGCTCACTTTGGTAACCAAAACGGTAAACACAAAGATCTTGGATATGACAATGATTTCAAATAATCACATTCACAACTTCATGAAGAAACCATTTTCGGACACCGGTGTTTGACTGCTGCACTCAATCAACGAAGGCAAAATGACGTATATGAAACAGATGAGCGGGAACTAGCCGGGTAAGTACCGAAACACGCCCGCACAGCCTGCCACATGCAAAACACCGGTCTTGATGCACAACGGAAACACCGATTAGAAACGGGAACATGGGAGGTTAAGGGGGGGGGGGGGCTGAAGACACATACCTCATGCACAGACACAGATCTTTGGCCGGTGTTCCTTTGGCTAGCCTAAGTTTTAGGCTGGTGCGCAATGTCACGATTTGTTTGATACCGAGATATCTTAACTTTAATACGGTGCAAATAAATTTGCCCGATTTAGTTTAGTTAAGAAGTTAGTTTAGACTTCCTTAAAACGATCTTTAAGGAGACAATTAGCTCAGAAACCTTTAGCTGAAAAATTTGCCAGCAACGGTTTTAATTTCGACCTATAATTTTGAGCATTTTTGTGACATGGCTTTTGATCATTTTCCCACAAAGTCAACAAAGACAAGTCCCGTTACTTGTTTTTTTAAAATCATCTCTTATGCTAGCATCAGGTTTATTCAGTAAAGACGAAATGCTGGCTTCAAACATCGTTTCTCCTCTGATATTCGAAAAATGCATCACGCCGATTTCACGTCTGCGGCACCCAGGTTCGGTGACCTCGGAGTGGGGCTGGTGCTGACGATGCCGCCCAACCGGCCCGAGGATTGGCCATTTGGAGCGACAGCGCATGCTTCCTGGCCGTGCGGAAACAGTCCTCAGACGGCTGGGTTCGCTCCCTGTTGCTGTTGGCCTCAGGCACCTTCCTCCCCCGTGATTGAATCAACACGTGACCGGTAGGCTCAGGTACGCGTGGAATGCTGAACACCGCCGCTGAGGTAACCGCGATCGTTTTTGTGCATCGTTTCGTGTCACAACATTCTGGCTGAAGCCGCTCTGTACTTAGATGGGTGGCATGTGTGCTTTTGAAGTTGTGAGGAGGCGGGCTGCCGAAGTCATTGGCTGGATATGTTGGACAGTTGGGCCTAACGTGCTGGTGGATTGTTCGGCGGTTTGCCAAAACCGCCAAATACCTTTCGCATTCCTCTGAAACTTGAGCCAAGCGCATTGCATCCTGCTGTGTAGACATTTAGCTGCGTGATCGCTGATAGTGTGGGCGTGCAGCCAGATCACCCCGCTTTTGGAAAAAAGCCGACAATCACCCGTTTCATGGATGCGGTGCAAGTCTGACTGGTTGGGTACCATTAGGTTATGATTGCGCTTCCAACGAATTTAATTCCTTTGCAGTGATAAAATCGATGCTTG